AATCCAATATATCAAAATCAATAAAAACTTAAATTTTTAAAAAAAACTAGACCTGTTAGATAAAAACAAATCGGGGAAAGTCAATAATATTTCTTTTTCAAAAAACTCTAATTCTGTTTTTAACCGCTTGGCTTACTACATATCAAATCCCACAACACAAGCACCAACTTACATCTTCATAACACAAGCACCACCTTAGATCTATGGAAAAAAAATAAAACAGTGGGGTGGCACAAAGTAGGGTTGAAAAATGAAATTTTTCGAAAATCATTAACCGCACTTGCTTATCCTGCTCTACAACATTCAGTTAGTCTAAATACAAAATATCACTTATTTTTATTCATTGGAAGTGCTACATGTAATTTTTCAAATATTGAGGATTGGCTGAACTTTATTTCATTTTTTACGGGTTAAAATATGTTTATAACTAAACTTTTGTTTGATCTTACAAGAAAAAAAACACTATAGTTTCATACAGTTAACTATTTTACAATAATTTTTTAACTCTAGGTTTTAGCTTTACCAGTTCCTTAGGCGACATGTCTTTTGTTATAAGCTTTCTGTGCTCCTTGACTACCAAAAGAATGTTCTGTCTCTGATCCTCATTATGGGAACTGTGAACAAAGTTTTCAATTAAACTAACATTTCTTTCTGTGCAATCGTTGATCACACTAAGATTACAAACTAAGAAAAATGTTTGTATGAATCTAGCGCTAAGAAATCACTTCAAGTATGCTGCTCTCGAACAGATTTGGTGTGACCTGTAAGTATAAAAAAAAGCCAACTCTCCTTTGTAATTAAATCCTCTAATCAATTATCACTGGTAACAATAACAGCAGAAGGAGCTAACAGAAATCTCTGATAACCCAGGAATTGGAAATTTTAAAAGTTTCTCAATGATTAAAGGCTTAGCTTCACCTAACAATAGTAAAACAACTTTAGGAGGCAAATACCATGTGTGGATACTCATGCTTTTTTGAAGTGAGTTTCCAACTTCATAATCCCATCCTGTTTTAATTGATTCAGCAATTTTTAATGCATTAAAATAATTTAGAACAGCATGCTCTGCTTTGCCTGATTTAAGAAAGGCAGGTCCATAATAAATAGCAATAAATGCTACCCTTGATACGTTTCAACAATAAATGCTACCCTTGATACCATACGTTTCTTTTCAGGAGTCAGATATTCAATGACTGTGGATGTCATATCAAGCATTAAAAAGTATATTGCAAAGGCCATAAACCTTGCATTGTGACAGGCGCCAGATGATAGATGTGAAAACTATTTAATTTCTCAGATTTAACATTCATGTAATATGCCAAATATTCAACAAGATGTCTGAAATCATTCCTAAAATATTCCTAACTTTATTTAATAACTTTAAAAAAAAAAGGAAAAAATATGGAAAAACTAATTCATTTTATATTATTTTTACATACCTGGGGAAGATGTCATGTCAATGTTAAGTTACACACTTTTTAGACATCAAATAGAGTTTGCAGAGATCACTGCCAGCAATAAGGTCTTGCTCAGAAAATCGTTAGAATTTTTCTACAACACCATTGGCTGAAACTTTAGGAAAAAATTCTGTTATCCATTTCTTCTGAAAGTCTTTTAGCAACTTATTTGCAGGGGCTTTAGACATTTCCTTTGAAATTGTCCTAAAAACCTAAGTAATATTTATCTTGGCAATTTGGTGTCTACTGTACACAATAACCAAAGAAATGGTTTACCAATAAACCTTGCCATAATAGTTATTGCACCAGATTTCCATCCAGTGTTACTTACTGTGGTGTCAGAACAGAGTCCTACAATATAGTCACAAATTTCAAAACATTCTAGGAGATTCACAATACTTATAGCCATATCGATTCCTTCACCACAATCAGTTGGCACAACACCAAGTAAAAAATCATCTGTGGTTTCAAACTCTGGGCTAGTAACAGATACTGATAGTCTATCTGCAGTAGTTGCCTTTTTAGTGTCCTCCTCAAAATGCTTTAAAATTTTACCATCAAAATGTAAAAATAACATCTTGTTAGCCATTAAATTAATATATTCATTACGTATCTGGCCTTCTTCCTCTTCTAAAAATCTGTAATGCTGCCTTCTGACAGATTCTCTGCTTAACTTTAGCTGTTTAACATCTTCTCCTAAATAGTTTTCTACGCTTGAAATAAGAAAGGTTTGATCTTGAATGCTGAGACCGGCCCTTATACTGGTGGAAGTTGTTGCTGCAATGAGACCTTCACTGGTTATCTCCTTTTCTACTCTGAATTATGCTAGTCTAAACTGATGCCTACTTTTTAAGCTTGCTTCGTGAAAGTTAACATTTTTATCTGGAACAAAAACTTCAGACTAAGCAATTACACTTCCAGCATCTAAATTAATATAAAGATTTTTAGCTCAGTTATACATTTACTTCTAAAAATTACTAATTTTACCTAAAATGTTCGTGCATTATTAGAAAAAATTGCTTCTCTCTTTTTATTCTTTTTATTTTTATCTTCTCTCTTTTTATTCAATCATAAGTTGAAACAAATATTTTTGTTAAACAAATTATTTTATGTGTTAAACAAATTATACTTAAATATTACCAAATTGTGATTCAGCTCTTATTTTTTTAGGTTCTGTAGATTCCTCACTTAGGGTTTCATTTAGGTTCCTCAATTGCGAAATTGAAATTTATATCATTGTTAAGAAAAAAGTTGTGATTCCATTGCCTTTTTTCATCAATTTCCTCTTTGTTGTCACAAATGTTCCTCTTCGTTGTCATTATCGAATTGTTGCTCTTCTGTACTCGATCTTAATATTCTTCTTTCCTCTTGCATCTATAAATCTTTTTCTGAAACCTTGCTTCAAGCTCTGTGTCAATTTTAGAAGATATGATCATATTTCTGTTAGTTCCTGTGCAAAAAGTTGTTAAAACACTTAGCTTAAGATAAATTTGAATAAAAAAACAAAATTTCTCATAAAAATGATTTTTTATATTAGGGAAAAATTAATAGATATATCATAATTAAAAAATAGTTAAATCTTCGCAAAAAAATTTGAACTAAAAATACCTTTGATCATCAAAGAAGGCCAAATCCTCTTGTAAAGCAGAAGTATTACGAGGCATTGATTCATCGTGTCTCAACTTCATCTCAAAGTCCTTCGCACTGATGTCAAACAATTGCTCTACTATATTGTAAAAGTCATTTTTGTGGCGTTTGGAAACTTGCTTTTTGATTTGAAAGGTTTTACTGTTGCACAAAGTTTTGTATTTGCTGTATAGAGATTTAAACTTTTCCACTATCCTTTTCTGAGAAATTAAGTAATTACTGAAACCAGCAGACATCCAAATATTTACAATTTGTTGGAGTAAACAGTATTTTTCAGTATTTGAATTAAAAAACTTGTCTTTCCCTTTGCATATAACATCCTCTTGTGCTCGAGAACATGAAAAGTTTTTTAATAGGTTTGAATTGCTTATCTCTAGCTGAAGTTAGGAACAAGTAATATCGAAGAACATTTCTAATCGATGGAAGTTGGTTTGTAGGTAGATGACTTAAAGGCGAGTTAAGATAATAAAATAATGGGAAGAAAAAAAAAAGGCTTGGAACATAAAATTTTCATCTTTACATGTAGCTCTTCCTGATTACTTAGGGATCTAAAATTTTTTTTTGTAGATTCCCACAATTTGGTAGAACCGAAAAATGTACTGCAACTTTTTTTTTTTTTTAAATTTTATGTCACCCTAGTGTACAGCAGCAGATTAAAAAAATAAACAGGAGAAATTAAGAAAACAACACATAAACATAAACATTAAGAAAACAACACATAAACAGGAGTAATTAAGAAAACAACACATAAACAGGAGTAATTAAGAAAACAACACATAAACATAAACATTAAGAAAACAACACATAAACAGGAGTAATTAAGAAAACAACACATAAACATAAACATTAAGAAAACAACACATAAACAGGAGTAATTAAGAAAACAACACATAAACATAAACATTAAGAAAACAACACATAAACAGGAGTAATTAAGAAAACAACACATAAACATAAACATTAAGAAAACAACACATAAACAGGAGTAATTAAGAAAACAACACATAAACATAAACATTAAGAAAACAACACATAAACAGGAGTAATTAAGAAAACAACAAATAAACATAAACATTAAGAAAACAACACATAAACAGGAGTAATTAAGAAAACAACACATAAACAGGAGTAATTAAGAAAACAACACATAAACATAAACATTAAGAAAACAACACATAAATAGGAGTAATTAAGAAAACAACACATAAACATAAACATTAAGAAAACAACACATAAACAGGAGTAATTAAGAAAACAACACATAAACATAAACATTAAGAAAACAACACATAAACAGGAGTAATTAAGAAAACAACACATAAACAGGAGTAATTAAGAAAACAACACATAAACAGGAGTAATTAAGAAAACAACACATAAACAGGAGTAATTAAGTAAGTCAAGGTATCAAGAAAAATCAAATGTGAAGACCACATTAAAACAATAAACAATAAAACTTACTATAAACTTGCATATTAAACAGTACAACTTCATTAAATTTTTCAAAATAAAGACAATCATAAATAAGATAAAATGGTACCATTTAATACAATTATGTTTTAAAGAGGTATATTAACATTGACAATTATGTTTTGAAGAGGTATTGTTAACATTGACAATAATGTTTTAAAGAGGTATTATATAGAGGTAAACGAATATAATTGTCAGTGTTAACTGACAATTATGTTTGTATACTTGATCAATTATTTGAGTGAGATCTCATCAAAATATTCTTTAATAAATATTAAAAAAGTTTAATTGTATATGAAAATTGCTTATAAATAATTTTCAAATGTATTCATATCTGAAAACTAGTATATAGATAGTAAAAATTACAGCTTTTAATCCTTTTTTAAATTAACAAATAGGAACCAATTTAATATTGAAAATTTTAACCTATGAAGCAATACTCTGTCAAATTGAATAATCTTGCGATCCAATTCAAGCTCAGGACGAACACCATGAGCAGAAACTTTAAATAATACTGGCTCTGGATTATCTTTAACACAGCATACAAGTGTATCTTCGTAGAACCCAGGAGTTTTAGGGTATGACCATATTTTCAGTTTCTAAAGAATGATTCTAATAAAAGTACAAATTCTAACAAAAATGTAATTTCTATCAAAAGTATAAAACCTAATTTAAAACTTACTTGATTTTCACCAGGTAGTAAAGAAATAAAGGTTGGCTCAAGAAGAAATGTTGTAGCATTACTATCACTTAAATATGAAAATGTTACATCTGCTTTCATAAGAGAAGTATTTGATATGCATAGCATTTCCATATTTTCAGGATATCTGCCTTCACGGTATCTTTCTCGATTTTTTCCAGCAAGTAGGGGACCAAATTCAAATACTTCATTCTTCAAAATAAAAACCTTATGAACTATTTCATTTGGCTTTTTGTATTTCTTACAATGAAGAAACACTACTTTTGGATCTTGGCATATTGTAGGTACTGAACATATGCCTCGACAGAAAATTTGATATTTTCGTTGAGTTCCTGCAATTTCAAAATGCAAAGTTTGATCAAATTGTCCTATCTCTTGTGACTGGAAACATATTTTTAATTCAATGGTTTTCATTGGTTCAATTATCCATCTGTGTTCATTAAAAGTGGAAAAAGATTTTACAGTTGTGCAGTGAGATAACGAACTAAAATATATTTACAAGGGCTTATCAGACAATTATGTGTGACAATTATATATATATATATATATATATATATATATATATATATATATATATATATATATATATATATATATATATATATATATATATATATTATATATATATATATATATACATACATACATATACATATATATATATATATATATATATATATATATATATATATATATATATATATATATACACATATATACATATATATATATATATGTATATATATTATATATTATATATATATATATATATATATATATATATATATATATATATATATATATATATATATATATATATATATATATATATATATTATATATATATATATATATATATATATATATATATATATATTCATATATATATATAAACTATATATATATATATATATAAAATATTATATATAAATATAGTTTGTATGAACATTTTAACATAACTAATATATATATATATATATATATATATATATATATATATATATATATATATATATATATATATATATATATATATATATATATATATATATATATATATATATATATATATATAAAATAGTTTCCAACCTTATTAAAAAAAAAACGATTTGATAACTTAATTTTTTTAAATATATTTCGGACAAAAAATTCTCAGAAGCAAATAAATTTACACCATTTTAAAAAAAACCGTACTTTATTTGAATAAAGTAAAAATTTTTGTAAAATGTAGAAAAATCGTGATCATGGTTTAACAGAAATGCAAAAAAAATCTGGTCCATAGTTCAATAAAATTAGAAAAGATATAAAAATGTTTTAAATATTGCCTTTTAAATTAAAATAAGCATAAATTTAAAAATTGTGACTTTTTGATGTCATGATGTCACCAACTGTCATTTTGATGTCATGAAATCTTGTCGCCACATTAGACCTCTCTGAAAATTCATATAAGCTTTTTAAAAAACTAAATGATGAATTATTGTATATTAACTCAAATCATCCACCCTAAATTGTAAAGCAAATTTCAATATCAATTAATAACAGGCTAAATCAAAACTTCTCTGATGAAAAGGTATTTGATTCCTTTAAATTTTTTTACAATGATGTCCTTAAAAAAAGTATATTTCAAAGTTTTAACTAAAGTTTGACCCTAAAAAAAAAGAATGCAAAAAAGAGAAATAATAAATAAATCAAATCAAAAAGTGTGGTATATAAATGTGTTTTTACTTCTAAGAATGAACCTGATAAACAATTATTGGCTTCATAGAAAATGAATGGAAAAAACGTTTTTCCAATCATAAGCAATCCTTTAATAATAAAAAGGATTTAAAAGACACAATTCTGTGTAAGTATATATAGGAATTTAAAGATAAAAAAAAACTGATGATTTTGTATTGAATTAGTCCATCCTTAAAGCAGCAACTGCATATAATAATATTTCCAAAAAATATATATTGCCTACAAGAAAAATTTGAAATAATTTAACCTATACAAATACATATTAAAAATAAACAGAAATAAACAGTTCTGAAGAATTCTTTCTACAATAGTGTCATATAAATATATATAAATATCTTGGTGTATTAATTGATTGTAATCTTTCATGAAACTTTAATATTGATGAATTAAGCAAGAAACTCAAGCTAACGGTATGCTTTCAATAAATCGTCATTATGTTGATAAAGTTACACTTAGGAATATTTACTATGCATTATTCTTATTTCATCTTAGCTATTGTTGTCAAGTTTGGGGTCAAGTTGGAAACTAGCGCATTAACAAGTTGCAATCGCCTCAGCGTCAATCCATCAGATTAATAAACTTCCAACCAATTAAATCAGATACATCAAACTCCTTCAAAAAACTTTTTATTCCAACATTTCCAGCGCTAGTAAAGTATGTTAATCTTTTTGTTTTTGACTCCTTAAATAAAAACATACGATCTCCTGTAACAAACTTGTTTACAGAAAGTAGACTATTACGTTCCTACTTGACTAGAAATATACACAATGGAAAACTAAATGTACCATTTTTTTAAAACCCAGAAGTATGGTAAACATTCTATTGTTTATCAGTGCGTCTGTGAATGGAACAAAAGCCTTGCATGCATTTTGAATGAGTCCAAAAAAATATATTCTAAAATACCTTTTCTCCATCTTAAACAATATCAATTTAAAAAAAAAATTTTTTAAACTTTTTATTCTAACTTTTAGGCATTATTACCCTTTTGATTAAAATATTATTTTAATTTTCTTTTTGTAATTACAACAATAATCATCAGCACTTTTTGTTTATTTTTTTCCTTTTTTTTATTATTAAAACCTGCAAACTGATTTCTACATGTTTGTTTTGATATATATTTTATGTCTGTGTGTTTACGGTCTATGTTTTTCTTTGTGTGTCTTTGCTTATTATTACTTATATTATATTAAAAATTGGTGTCACTCCTTTGATCAAATTTCTGTATCAGTGACACCAACCTAATAAATCAATAACTTATTATATTAATATTAGTTATCATTATTATTTTATCATTGTAATTATTGTAAACATACTTATTATTATACTTCAGGCAGAATTATTGAAGCTCTTCCTGATATAGTTGATCTTCTGAACTCTCAATTTAAATCTATGTTTACACTTGAAAGCTCTGAAAATTTTCCTTTGCTAAATAAAAGTGGTATTCTTTCTGAATGCATTTATAATAAAAACTTGGATTTCTCTATCTCAGATATTATTCAGGAACTTGCCGATCTAAAGCCTTATAAATCCTTCGGATCTGACGGCTTGCATCCCTTAATACTCAAGATATGTGCCAAAAGCTTTGCAATTCCATTAACAAAAATCTTTCATAAATCCTTTAATTCTGGAGTAGTACCCACTCAATGGAAATTAGCAAATATTAGTCCGATCTATAAAAAAAAAGGGAGATAAATTACTTGCTGAAAACTATAGACCTATTTCACTAACATCTGTTGCCTGTAAAATCTTTGAAAAACTTGTAAAGAAAAAAATTTTAAAGCACATTAACGATAATAAAATGCTCTCTGCAAATCAACATGGCTTCCTTTATCATAAATCATGCGTAACTAACCTAATAGAAACTTTTGATATCATTTCGTCCTCCATAGCATCTCACCAATTTATTGATGTAATCTATCTTGACTTTGCCAAAGCGTTTGACTCTGTACCTCACAACAGACTTTTGTTAAAATTAAGATCTTTCGGAATAAACAGCAAACTCCTACAATAGATTAAATCTTTTTTAGTGGGCAGAAAGCAACGCGTTACAATTAACAATACCAGCTCTGCATGGGTTGATGTTCTCAGTGGTGTTCCTCAAGGTTCTGTTCTCGGCCCGCTCCTCTTCATTCTCTACACAAATGATCTCGCAAAACTCACTGAAACTTCTGAGATATTTGCCGATGATACTAAACTTTTTTCTAAAACCTTATCGCAATCTAATTTTGTTGATCTGCAGGATCGTCTACGCTTGGTATACGAGTGGTCAAACACTTGGTTACTTAAGCTAAACACTTCAAAATGCTGCGTCATTCATTACGGTCGAAACAACCCCCATTACAATTACTTTCTTCAAAATAACCAAGGAATCAACCAATCTCTAAGAAGCTCTACTAAAGAACGTGATTTAGGAGTCATTTTTACATCTAACCTCAAGTGGAGCGCTCATATTCAAACAGTTGTCTCTAAGTCCTTACAAATTCTCGGTATGCTGAAAAAGACATTCACTTTCATTGATGAAAAAATGGCTCTCAAATTATATAAAGTATTTATAAGACCACATCTTGAATATGGAGTGTCCATTTGGGCTCCTTTTTTAAAAGCTGATATGGCTTTGGTTGAATCTGTTCAACGCAAAGCTACAAAATGGGCTTACAGCTTGAGGCATCTTCAATACTGCGAAAGGCTAAAAAGATTAAACCTACCATCACTTGAGTTTCGACGCCTTCGATGCGATTTAATTCAAATTTTTAAATTAATACATCGTTTTGATATAGTTAATGATAAATATCTACCAAAATATATTAACTCCGTGTCTCGTGGTCACCATTCTAAAATAAGGCGTGAGTATGTTCTAAACTGTCTTCCAAGATATAATCATTTGTATAATAGATCAGCAAAATACTGGAACAATCTACCAGAGCAAATAACTTTGTACTCCACTGTACTTTCTTTCAAAAATAGACTAGACTCCTGGTTGTTTGGAATTTGAAAAGTTTGGAACAAATATTTATAAAACTGGTTGTTTATAGTGGGGTGTTTCCCCTGCTCGCTGTATGTGTACATTCTATGTAAATTTACGGCTACAACTATAATAATAATAATAATAATAATTACTATTACTATAATTTGTATAATTTTTTTTTAATCTTTTATTATTACAATATACTAATGTTATTATTACTATTATTATTATTATCATTATTATTACTATTGTTATTATTATTATTATCAAAACTATTGTAAAAATGATTTACCAAAAATAAATAACTTGTTGTTGTTGTTGTAGTTGTCAACATATTCCACAAATGTGTGAAACATTACAGTAATTAAGACATTTATGACTTTCTGTAGTTGAATTTTTGAATGTTGTGAATTTTTGTTGAATTTTTGAATGATGTGAAAATTTGAAATGAAACACATTGTAAAACTAAAAAAATTTGTTTAACGGTTTTCTACTAATTTATTTTTGCTCTTTTTTTTTTTTAAACATTGTGTATTCTATTTTGTAGAATACATTTAAAATTATTCTTATATATATATATATATATATATATATATATATATATATATATATATATATATATATATATATATATATATATATATATATATATATATATATATATATAAATTTATATATATACAAATATATATATATATATATATATAATTATATATATATATATATATATATATGTATATATATATATATATACATATATATCACGACTGTTTCACTCAACA